TAGTTCTGGCTCTGTATTCTTTTTGTCACGGTAGAGAAAGCCAACTGATTTTTGTATGTTGATCTTGTATCCTGCTACTTTGCTGAATTGGTCAACTACCGGAAACATTATCTTGTCTTTAAAAACCTCTAGGATTTTATTTTACTTGAGTCTATAATCTATATCAGTGGGAGCAGCGGTCAAGTGGAGAATATTGAAGTTTTTTACTCAGGTTCATGTGTAAATATAAATACGTGAGCGTCTTTTACAGACCCTAAGATGAAGGCTCATGAGGATAACTCCAGCCAATCAGATGAATTGTCTGAAGTTTCGTATCCTGTGATAATCTGTAACACGTCAGTGCCAATGCAGGATAGGAGAGTGCCTTTCTTGTTATCCCTGTTGTCATTTAGAATCTCAAAACCAGAAATCCCAATGGCCTGTACTTTTTATTAGAGTTCTTTATAAGGGTTGGTTATGCTTATAATGATAATTTAAGATACTTCATGACTTTTTGGTTCATTATAGAAGCCCAAAATATATTCATTTAAACTTTAATATTAAGCAAATTTAATTGCATGATGACTCTCTGAGCACTGATAATTGATTGCTATATATAGGAACTCCAGAGTCCAAAATATTACATTAATTCAAATGTCCCATTTTCTATCTACTTCAAATATACGCAATTTAATTAAATTTAGTGTTAGAACACATTTGTAAATAGACTATAGCAAATGGGTTAATCAGTGCCCATTTGCATCTGTGTTCATGAAAATTCTCTGCACACTACATCCGCAACATAGTTTTGAGTTTCTCTCAAATCATAAGATTTGCTGTAATATAAGAATAACTGGAAGAAATAATTGACCAATTTTGAAGAGGTGGTTTTTGTTGATTGCCATCAATTTGCGCACAACTGATAGTGACTCTGTGAACAAAAAATCTAATGATGCCTTTCCATGACTCATTGTTTCTCCAAGTTCATAGAGTTTCCGGAGGCATATGGTTTAGGAAGTGGATGCCACTCTTGCTTCCAAACCTGTTTTACAACTGGGCATTCCACCAAACACTGTCCACCTTGGGAGACCATTCTGGTATTTGATAACCTCAATGGCGCAAGGTTCAGCATCATAGCAAACCCAGGTTACCTCATACAGCACACATTGACAAAGAGTGATGTGCAGAGTGGAAGAATGTTCCTCCAGATATAACAGCACTAGTCTCATTTAGAAACGATTGTCATCAACTTAAACATGATTCATAGTGACCTTTGCACTAAAGACCTGAACTCTGTTCTATAACTAACATCATTTCTGTAAATTTATAGTTTACCACTACTGTAGTGGTTCAAATATAGCAGAGGAAAGATGGGCAGGGTAAAGCATGTGAATTACAACCTCAGAAACCCAATATAAAGTCAGCTGAAGGTCGATTCCAACTTGAGGACAGTATGAAAGAGAAAGGAGGACAATCTATAACTAATGTATTTTTGAAGAGGTATTAATTACGTGGTAAATATCTGTGTTAAGAAATGTCCTTCCAAATAGGAAGCCCATGGTCTGTTTATTTCAGCTTGTGGAAGATCAGAAATGTAAATCAAATCTAATTGAAGATTGTTATCAATGGTTCCTTGTTGCTATTATCACTGGGCCCATTTTTGCTGGCAAAAATACCCTCTGACAATACTTACTTATATAGAAAGTAGGTGTCTCCACCCGCCCATAAAGATCTCTAATTTTGTGGCTACTTTCTTGTTCTTGCAGAGTTTTTCCGAGAGCTGCTAGAGAATGCAGAGAAGTCCCTCAATGATATGTTCGTCAGGACCTATGGGATGCTGTACATGCAGAACTCCGAAGTGTTCCAGGACCTCTTCACCGAGCTGAAGAGATACTACACGGGGGGCAACGTGAACCTGGAGGAGATGCTCAACGACTTCTGGGCGCGGCTCCTGGAACGGATGTTCCAGCTCATCAACCCACAGTACCACTTCAGCGAGGACTACCTGGAGTGTGTCAGCAAGTACACCGACCAGCTGAAGCCGTTCGGGGACGTGCCCCGCAAACTGAAGATCCAGGTCACGCGGGCCTTCATTGCCGCCAGGACGTTCGTCCAGGGACTGACTGTGGGCCGAGAGGTCGCCAATCGAGTGTCCAAGGTAATTGAAGAGCTGCTGTCTTTCTAATTGCCTTCCATCCCCTCCCCTCTTTTACTCTGTTCTTCAAACAACTCTTTTTTTAAAAAAAAATCAAGGTAAAAGTTCTTTCCACTGATCTTTGCTTTGGGACAAATCAGCTAAATGTCAGAAAGCAAATTTGCCTTTTCTCTTTCATGACTGGGAGCAGACAGGTTTTCAGGTAGTTCTGCGTCCTTCAGAACCTAATGTCGATGTTTATCAGCAATAGAGCAAAGAAACCTCTACCAGGACTAAAGCAAAAAACAGGTGCCTTGCCTCTGTGGTCACTTGGCATTTCTGATCACAGTTTAAGGATGATAAATACTCCTGAAACCATCTGTGCAAGGCTATAATCCTCCACGAAGTCACGAGCTGGCCATCTCTGTCACTCCTTCAGGTGGTGACAAGTTGTTCTTCAAAACACCAGCAATTGGCCTTCCTTCTTCTTTGTCACACTTGTCTAAGTGGCCAGGTGTTTTAATAGTGAAGGAGGAGCCCTCTGCTGGCACCTGTAGAGCCAGATTAGAAAGGACTAATGAATCCAGAGGATGGATTCGCCCGAGAATCCCCTTTGTTATCCTTCATCTCAGAAATCCAATGTCGTGTATTGCATGGGGCTTATGAGAAAGATAAATCACTTGCACCTTTTTGTGCCTTTTCTTGAGGGTGATGCCTTGAAACCTTCAGGGAAAGGGGACCTTTCTCCATTGCTGTCATTAAACATGGACTATTTGTCGTGTGGAAGATGACTACCTTTGTTTCACCTCCTCCTGGGACATTTAACTGTTCTTATAAGATGTGTCTGCCTATTTATGAGCGCTGTTCAACAAACATATGAAAAGATTACTTGAAGGGATAAAGTAAAAGAAAAAGACTATATACCAGGAATCTAGCAAGTCACCCAGAGAAGGTCAGATGTGATCAAAGCTTATTGCCAAATACTGCTTTTCCATTGCATGATTATTGATGCCAAAGAGTGCATCGTATTATTTTATAGCTGTTGGTGCCTTTCTGCTTTGTTACATATTTTTCCACAGGGATCTTCCAAATATTTACATTTTGGCCTAAAATCATGTTTATCTTTACAAAATGTTTCTCTGTGTACAGTCCATTGGAATCTGTTTCAAAATTATCCATTACTAACAATTTTACTTAAGAGTGCAAAAAGGTTATTTGTAATGAGGCCCGAAAGGGGTCAGTTACCCGGGATTTGATAATATTAAGTTCATTCCATTCTGATGTTTAAAACAATGATTTCTTATTGAAGAAAAACATTGGAATGAATTAACAAGAAATTTGCCAGGTCTAAAGGCAACAGGAAATCTGATCACCTGAAGACGTCTGTCAGTTGTAAAGAAGTATGAAAGATCCATGTATTCCACATTTTAGCAATTCTATTTCATTTAAAAATAACAATAAAAAATTTAGTCACATAGACTTTAAATTAAAACTTTTGCTTTTATGGATGAAATATGAATTTTGCTCTTGAGAAACGTGAAGATATTCAAGTTAGAGTTATAGATAAACTTAAAAATTCATAACTTCTTGTATTTTAGTTAACTATGGACTCCATTAAAAGACATATTGCCATGGGAAAGTCTGCTGTTAGGGATGTCTCCGAAGTACTGAAGAGCAATGATGTCTCTCTGGAGACTAAGGTGTGTCTGTTACAGGCCATGGTCTTTGCTATCACTTGTTATGCATCAGAGAGTTGGACAATGACTAAGGAGGATAGAAAGAGAATTGATGCCTTTGGGCTGTGGTGCTGGAGAAGAGTACTGAGGAGACCATGGACTGCTAGGAAAACAGATTCATCCTGGACAGGGTTAAACTGGGCAGCTCCCTGTAGGCAAGGATTCTGAGGCTCTGTCTAACATACTTTGGACATGTTGTAAGGAGGGACCGGTATTTGCAGAGGGACATCATGGTTGGGAGGGTGGAGGGACAGCGCAGGAGAGGAAGGCCCTCTATGAGGTGGATTGATTCAGTGACTGGGATAATTGGGATGGGAGTGTCAGAGACAGTGCGATTGGCACAGGACAGAGCGGAGTTTAGGGCTGTTGTACATAGGGTCACTATGAGTTGCAAGTGACTTGATGGCACATAACAACAACAACATGGACTTCATTTAGATGTACATATTGTCATCAGAGGGGTCCAGGTAAGAATTGGAAAAGAGGCATAAAGGGCTGCATTAGAGATTGTTGGTGCATATTTCTCTTCTTTCTCAGAGGGTGGGAGCAACGACTTCCCAGAAATGGTATCCACCTTCATAACTTCCTAACTTCTCAGTTCTTTATCTGTCTATCAAAATTAATCATGCTACTCTGATGATCAAGACTAATATAGGTCAACCATCAGCAGTATAACCTTTAAATTTTTACTTCGAAATACTCAGCCCCACCATAAACATTCTCTCTGTGATATCCTCATTGGAAAAGTAGCAACGTGCATTTGGAAGGTAATTCGTCATCTTAAAACTATGGATATGTGGTTATTGGATATTGTGCTACGTGAATATTGACTTCAATGGCTCGAGCCTCATTAGCCCCTAATCAACTTAAATCATCAGTCCTGTACTGAAATCTTTGCAGTGTGTGTGTGTGAGATAGAATGTGTATGTGTACACTCTTCACACAACCGTAGGTTAAATGAGACCGAGAAACTTTTTCTCAAATAGTTTATAGCTGAGGAATGTGACTATTGCTAACACTGAATTCAACAACCTGATAATTACCAGATGGTCTGTAACTAACAAAACAAAAAATAGACCTGTCTGAACCTTGATGATTTTCATCAAGCAAAAGGGTTTTATTTTTGTTTTTTTTTTGTAATAAAGATTAAATATTATAAAACTAAATTATGAAGACAAGCAAAAATGCATTTTAGGTTTTAAGGCCTGTTCATACTTTTGAAGTCCGTTTCTGGTCTTTTAATTGAGTGATTTAGAGTTGGTGAAATGTTGAGGGGGAAAGAGATAATTTAAGGTTAGAAAAGGGATTTGGAAAATGCCAAAAGGTAGATAATCTAACTTACCTTTCGCATATTTGTATCTTCATTTCAGGTTTTTGGTTTTTTTGCGAAGTTTGATTTGGGGTTTTGTTTTGGTTTTTTTCTTCTCATTTTTTTCCTTCTTCACTAACAGTGACTTCTTAGATCTTGGAAAGCATCATTAATTAATTGTTTTGACAGGAAGTATTACCTCTTTTGCAAAACACAGCAGTTTGACACAAATGTTTTGACACAACTTTGTAGGGAATGTTCTTACTTAAAAAATAGAGGACTGATGTGTAATCATAAAAATAATTCTGATTAAAACTTGTATTTGCCATCGTATAAAAATAAGAACTGTCTTATTCTTGCCTTTGGATGAACAAGTTGATTTTCATTAAGAATAGCTAACTCTTAGTCTGTTAAGAAGTATTATATTATTCTGTTGTATCTGGTCCTGTTACCCACAAGATATTTTGCGTTTGAATAGCTATTTTTTGAGAGTGCTAGGTGTTGGGAAGATGTGGAGTATCAGGAACTCCAATAGTTTTCACGTAGAAGTACAAATTTATGTTTTCATGCTGAAAAGCAACTTATGTTGTTAAAGACATGTAAATCCTGAAACTGTGTAATTGCTCCTTCTGGATAAACTGTTACACATGTGTTATCAGTAAACATTGTAAAATACTGTTCACATTAGTATTATTTACAATGTCATAGAAAGAATGATCCCAAATGTTCATATAAATAATTTATTACTAATACATACCACATAGTCCTATTTGGCAGTCAAAATAAGCTACACTCACACTCCTGGCTTAATTGTAGTAAGCTGTGTTGTTAAATGCAGCTGTGCTGGTTCAAATCCAGCAGCTGCGCATTGAGCAAAAGATGGACAATTGCCTCCCTTGTAGCTAAACAGCCCCTGAAAACTCACTGAAGGGAGTGAACCTATGAGTAGGTTCCTACTTAACGGAAAATAAGAACAGTATTTTTTTAAAGAATATAATCTCTCTATATAATCTGCAGCCTTCAATATGGATTGAGGCTCAATATCAAGAAGACAAAGATTCTCACCACTGGACCAATTGACAGCATCAGAATGGATGGTGAAGAGATTGAGATTGTTCACAGCTTTCGTTTGTTTGGCTCCACAGTCAACACTCTTGGTACCAGCAGCCAGGAAATTAAAAGACATATTGCGATGGTAAAGTCTGCTGTCAGAGGCCTCTCTAAAGTACTGAAGAGCAATGGTGTCTCTCTGGAGACTAAGGTGCGTCAGATACAGTCCATGGTCTTTGCTATCACTTATTATGCATCAGAGAGTTGGACAATGACTAAGGAGGATAGAAAGAGAATTGATGCCTTTGAGCTTTGGTACTGGAGATGAGTATGGAGGGTACCATGGACTGCTAGGAAAACAAACAGAATCATCCTGGACAGATTTAAACTGGGCTGCTCCTTGGAGGCAAGGATTCTGAGACTCCGTCTAACATACTTTGGACACGTTTTAAGGAGTGACTGGTCCTTGGAGAGGGGCATCATGTCTGGGAGGGTGGAGGACAGTGCAAGAGGGGAAGGCCCTCTATGACGTGGATTGATTCAGTGACTGGGGTTAATCGCGATGGGTGTATCCTAGATGGTGTGATTGGTACAGTACAGAGCAGAGTTTAGGGCTGTTGTACATAGGGTTGCTGAGTTGCAAGTGACTCGATGGAACATAACAACCAACAACAATCAATCAATCAAATGAAAAGAGAATCCTTGTTTTTATAGCATTCAGAAGTGTGGAAACTGAGGGATAACTTATTTAAAATTAGAATATATATGCAATAACTGACAAAGAAAATCTAAAAGTGATAATAAGCACAGTAATTGGAATGTGATTGCATCCTGAGGAGAGTTTGGGGAGGTTACCAGGGAGAGAAGAATACACAGGTGTGTCCAAGGCTAGTGATATCCTTAATGGCTCAAGCTAAGTGCCCTCTCTG